TTCTGTGTATGGACATGTTCCACGGAGTGTTCCACACTCACCCCATGGACATACAGTAATCATTAAACTTGGGACGTGAACTCACCAGCCTTGCAAATGCCAAATTTCGTGTGGATAATAGGCAAACATGCGACCATCTGGTCGATGCATATATCAGGACCATGAAATATCGAAATGTTCCACTAGGTGGGTGTATTGGTCAACATATATCTCCGTGAATCATTTCCAGAAAAATTATGATTTCCTTATTCACTTTGACTGGTGATGGCCTAGTTATGAGTTTCCCTTGTGTACATGCTACACATCTGAGATTCTTGGGATAACTCTCTTTATCGTGTGCCTTTGAGAATTCATTAACAATTTACGCATCATACTAGAACCGGGATGGCCAAACCGATAATGCCATAGAGTGAAATTTTCGCAGGCATTAGCCTCAATCATACTGATCTTTGCATAGTATAGACCAGTAGATATTGCAGGTACAGTCTCTAAGATTCTTTTATTTCCTTGGATGATTTCAGTAATAATAAGGAACTTTTTATTTCCTTCGTCCTTTGTTTCAAGTTAGAAACCATTTAATCTTATATCCTTGAAACTTAATAGGCTCTTTTTAGAGCTGGGTGAATACAAGGCATTCGAGATCTCTAGATGTGTGTCATTAGGCAACAGTATATAAGCCTGGCTGTGGCCCTCAATAAGGCTGGCCGTACCCGTAATGGTTTGTATACTGGCATTTTGCATTGTGAGATTGATCAAATATCTTTTGTCTCTAAGAATTGTGTGGCTTGATCCACTATCCACCACAAGTATACTCATCTCATCTTTCATTCTATATAATAATATCATAATCTCAGAGACTTTTATAAATAAAACTTGCATATTATTAAATTCAAAGCATCAAACAACAATAGTATTAAAATTCAAAACAATAAAACATAGAATCAAAGCAAAACAAACAAGACGTTGAAATTAGTCTAGACAATATGAAGTCTCATAATCTTATCGACCATCATTCTCATGGTCATGGTCGAAATCACTATTATCATCTTGGACCAAATGGGCTTCTGGTTTCTTGCCTTTCAGATTCTCTTGATAGAGATCACATAAGTGTTTAGGAGTTCTGCATGTCTTAGCCCAATGATTCCCCTTTCACATCTGTGGCAAAGTGATTTGGTCGAGTGATTGCTCGAGTAAGTTGGCTTAGATATGCCACCTCGACCACGGCTGTAACCGAAACCTCGTCCACGACCATATAGCTGGGACCATGACCACAGTTATTGTGGTTCCCTTGTCCACGGCCGTACGAGTTATAAGAGCCTCGACCACCACGTCCTCTCCATCCACCACAGCCTCTATCGTGTGGTCTATTATCATAGACGTGGTTGCTTTCTTTGGAATCTTTCTTTTCTTCTACTGCCTTATTGGCTTCTGGTAATGGGGCTGATCCAGGAGGTCTCATCTCACTATTCCTCATCAGGAGTTCATTGTTTGTCTCGGCCAGGAGTAGGCACAAGATCAGATCAGTGTATGTGGTGAAGCCTCTTTCTCTCTATTGCTGTTGCAGCAACACATTACTAGAATGGAATGTAGAGAATGTCTTTTCTAGTAACTCTTTCTCGGTTACTTCTTCACCACATAGTCTCATCTTTGAGACAATCTTAAATAAAACTGAATTGTATTCATCCACGGACTTATAGTCTTGGAATCTGAGATTTCTCCACTCATATCTAGCCTTTGGTAGTAACACCGTTTTCTAGTGATCATATCTCCGCTGTTAGGCGGTCCAAAGGTCTAGTGGATTCTCCATTGTGAGATACTGATATTTAAGACCCTTAGCAAGATGGTGAAGAATGATGCTTATTGCCCGGTATCTGTTTTTATCATTCTCTTTATTCTTCTCGATGATAGTATCACCGAGTCCCTTTGACCTCAAGGAAATCTTAGTATCCAGTGCCCACTGCAAATAGTTATCTCCAGAGAGATTAAGAGCATCATAGTCCATATTGCATATTTTTGACATCTGAATCAATACAATCAGATTTAGGGTTTCATAATGGATATATCAATCAATACAATTGGATATCAATGGATTATCAAACAATACAGTTGGATTTTATTCGACCAAAACAATTCTAATCGACCATGGTGCATAACAATCCTAAAGTTTGAGTTCTATATGTAATAAAGATGATAAGGCCACAAGGCCATGATATATGATGATGCAAGTGATCGGATTCAATAATGCACTTAAAAGAAACAATGGTCAATGGTTCAGATTTAACATTAGATTTACTATCATGCAACAAAAACAATGATCATACGGTTTATGTTTAGGATTTACTAAATTTTAGGGTTTCCAGATTAGGGTTTTAACAATTAAACAATCTTTACTAATGATCTTAAAACCTCAAAACAATTCATAAAATCAACAATCAGATTTAGCAATTTGTGATTTAGGGTTTTCAAGGCCCTTTTAGGGTTTCAATTCAAAATTAGGTTTAAACAATCAATCTATCAACCTAAACCTCAAATCATCAAACAATTTAATCAAACAATAACATTCATCAAAATCAGATTCATAAATTAGGGTATTAAACAATCCTAGCACCTAGGTTCAAAGTTTTTATGTAAACCTCAATCAAAAACAATCAAGCAATCAATCAAAACATTATTGGGTTCCAACTATCAACCTAAACAAACCATTCAACCTACTCATTTCTATTCGCAAATTAGGGTTTTGATTCTTTAGGTTTTAGGGATTAATCGAAGTTACCTTTAGTTTTGTAAGGTAGAAAACCGGATCACCAAGAGAGGGAAAGAACTTCGAGCTGAGCCGGATCGGATTAGGATTCTTCGCGGTTGAGATTTGTGGTCGAGATCGGTTTAGGGCTTCTCGCGGTCGTGCTTGATCAATCAGATTGCAGGAACTCAATTATTCGTGCAGGCGGCTGGTCGGAGTTGATAGAGATCGCGAGCTAGGATTCTTGGCCAGAAAAAAGAAAGACAAGGAGGCGGCTGGTCGGGTACTCGCCGAGAAAAGGAAACCGTCTAGGATTTTTCACGAGCAAAAAGGAAAGAGGAGCCGCGGTGGTTTTTGATGAGCGCCGGCGAGGTCTAGGGTTTTTCTTGGTCGACTTTTTAGCTAGGGTTAGAGAAACAATTCGTGCTGATAACGTGTTGTAAATCAGAGAGAGTTGTGTGTATATACATTGGTTACAAGAGATAGATAAATGGAAAGTATCAAAAAAACCAAGGCCTTATAGCCGCTTATGGTTTGTGGGCCGAATTGGCCTTATCTAAAATATGGTTATTGACCATCCACTATAAAATCTAGTTTCTATGTTAAACCACTTTGTGAATTTTTTAGAGTGATGGGATTTAGTTAAAAAGAAAATATAGAGATAAAGGGCCTCTTCTCTATATAGAGTATAGACGATTACATGTAAGCATTAAAGCCGAATGTAAAATTATGGAATTAGTGTTTTATATCTCTCATAGCTCTATAATGACACCCTGTGATTGGGCTTTTACTTCTAACGAAAAACCACCGTAGTGAATTTCTCAGTGATGGGTCTTTGTTGAAGAGAAAACAGAGAATGGGCCTTATTTTACATATAGACTATTACAAACAAGGGTTAAAGCCCAATAACAAACGCTGAAACTAGGGTTTATATATTCTCTCTGGACGCACAACGCAGCAGGTAACATCTCATCGAGACAGTGAAGAAACCCTAATTCTTCAAGATGGGGCGTATGCATTCCAGAGGGTTCGTCAACTTCTTCTTTATCATCTTCGTATAATGGGTTATGTAAATCTTCTCTCTTTAGTTGTTTTCTTACATATTCTTAGTCTCATTTGTGTTCTGTAGAAAGGGTATCTCTGCATCTGCTTTGCCGTACAAGCGTTCACCTCCGACATGGCTCAAGACCACGGCCCTCGATGTAAGACTTCTGAGCAATCTTAAACTGTGATTCGTGTAGAGACGTTGGCTTCAGTTATATCTTAATTGCTGAACTAAGCTTACTCCTACTATTAAAATAAGAACTTTGTAGTTTTACTGGAGTTGTCGGAATCCCCCCCTCCCTTCCATTGTCTGAATAGTATTAACCTGATCCTTTTATTAATGGTGTTATTGTTATTAACCAGGTTGATGAGTCAATCTGCAAGTTTGCAAAGAAGGGTTTGACTCCATCACAGATTGGTGTGATTCTTCGTGACTCTCACGGTATCCCTCAGGTGAAGAGTGTTACCGGAAACAAGATCTTGCGTATTTTGAAAGCTCACGGTTTGTGTTTTAACCCTTTATCATTGTCTCTTATCTATTTTCTCTATGTAAATTTAAAAGTTATGGCATTGTGTTGTTGTGTTGGTAAAAAGGTCTTGCTCCTGAGATTCCTGAGGATCTGTACCACTTGATCAAGAAAGCAGTTGCTATCCGCAAGCACTTGGAGAGGAACAGGAAAGACAAAGACTCCAAGTTTAGGTTGATTCTTGTTGAGAGCAGGATTCACCGTCTTGCTCGTTACTACAAGAAGACCAAGAAGCTTCCTCCAGTCTGGAAGTAGTAAGTGCTCTGTTTTGTTGTTCTTTCTTATTTATTTGTTAAGTAAAGATTCTGATATGTTTTGTGATTGTGCTTTTCTTTGCAGCGAGTCTACTACTGCTTCTACTCTTGTGGCTTAGAGCATACTCAGGCTTCAAGAGCACTACAGTTTCTTTTTGCTGTCTTATCTCTGAACTTAGTTTCTATGTTCCGCATTATCTTTGTTTTGTTAAGTTACTATAATGTTTTGATGATTTCAGCGAACCATTTTTTTTAATCTATTGTCAGAATTGCTTATGTTTGTGTCTTTTCACTATTACCGTTCATAGTATAATCTGTTATTGAAATCATTGTATTATCAAACATTGATCTCGGCAAACACAGGGGTAAACAAATATGTGGAAGGTATTTGTTGAAATGAAGCATTGCCAAGTTTAATCTATTATCATTCCAAGATACTAATGTGCAAACATTATCAAAACATGATTGTAAATAGTATATAATAGGTGTAACTTGTATCTCTGAACAAATATTTGATTTCATCAACCAAAACGTTGCAAAGATACAAACGCTTACAAAATCAGAAAGGTATTTGTTGCCTACTAGGCCAAGACTCGATCTTTTGGAAGTAATCAACAGGAACTACACCATCAATGCCTTCAGTCAGAATCACCTTATTGTCTGAAATGTATAACGCAATTCCATCTATAGAAAAAGAAAAATCAAAGTGAAATATTTGAGCCACCAAAGCAAATCAGCAAATATTGAATGTGATCTCTGGTACTTAATAATACCTTCAAGAGCTTTCTTGATGTCTAGGAAGATCAAGACATTAACATCTCTCCTCATGCCTTATAGTCATAATCATGTTAAATTAGATAAACTTGCATATGCAATTATGCAAGAACAACAATAAATCTCAAAATCTTACCACTTATTACTTCACCATCTGTTGGCAAGCCACAAGAAAAGTGAACATGCAATCTATTCATACGCTTTAAACCAGATGCTAAAATCGATTCCAAATTCTTCTGGTAAGTTCCATGTACACACACTGCCATTACAAAATAATCAAAATTACATGAGAAACAATCCAATACAGAACATAAGTGAGACGTAAATGTCCTAGTACTGCATTTACCTGGAGCTTCTTCAGGTGACAATATTGGTTTAAGTAACTTTTCGGATTCAACAGTCTACAGAGAAAAACAAACATATACTTATCAACTGCGCTATCATACACTACAGCAAGTATAAGATCAACGGTTTCAAAAGACATGGCAAAGCCTCAAACTTTTCTATTACAGTGATGGAGTGGCCTTGGTTAGCGCGAATCAAGAGCTCTCCATTCTCATCCACAAGGCTAAAACGTTGCTTATTGTCTCTTCTCACTGCCTGCAAGTTAACAGCATCATACAAAAACCTCGCTTACAGCCCAATGAAAGATCAGTGAAAGTGAAACTGACCTCTTTGATCTCATCAACCGTATGTGACTTCAACTGAATGTTTGCAGACGTTTTCAACTCAAGCTTAAGCAAGACTTCAACTTTAACAAACCCATCACCTCGCATGTTCAATCTCAGCTCAGTAGCCTTGTGTCGCAAGACACGCGTCCTGATTCATCAATCCAAAAAAAAAAGAGATTTAATTTAACGTTTAAAAAAACCAAACTTTACAACCTCTCTAAACAGCACTTACATGAGTCTCCCAAGCGCGTCCACTTTATCTTTGCCTCCTCCACCGCCACGGCCATGAGGTCTCCGCTGGTCGTTATCTCTGTTATTCACTCTTCCACTACCGCCGCTACATTCATCAAAAAAACTCATAAGACCAAACCTTGAGAGACCTTTAATGATAAAAAACGCTGAAATTCAATACCTTTTGGTGGACTGAGCTAAGGAAGAACAAGCATCCATGAAACCGGTTGAGGAAGAGTCAGAGGTAATTAATTGAACCGGACAGTTGGTAATCCAAACAAGCACCTCAAAGAACAGAGTAAAGCTTCTTTCTTTCTCGCGTTGTCTCAGTGCTCTGTTTCTTTTTCATGTTTGATTTGTAATTGCTATAGAGACGACCCAAAGATGCTAATTTCTAGAAAACCAGAAACCGCAGAGACAAAACATCAATCTAGGGCTTTTTGTCAAGGTACTATGATGTTTTGATGATTTCAAGGAACCAATGTGTGTATTAAGTTAAGCTTATGTGGACTTGTTGCATTGGGCTTTAATAACCTGATGCTTCAGCTTAGATGGGCACACGCCCAAAGGGGCACTTCATGGCCTTATTGACCTACTTGAAACCAGTTTCACAGACCAAGTATCAATCGGTGGTTGAAGTTGCAGAGTTTAAACCAAAATTTTCTACCTCCTAGATGTGAGACAATATTCGCAGCTGAGTACAAAACCTTATTGACTATAAAATTTAGAGCTCAGGTGATACAAGAGTCGAGGCATAAACTTAATTATCATCATATAGAAGAGTTCAAACTTTTTCAACAAACCATTTTTAATCAAATCACACACATGGGGAGGACAAGAAAGAAGGAATCAACAAAAGCCATTTTATTTATATTAGTTTTTACACATTGGCTTATATTTTGAAAGAGGGTTTTTTCTTAACTTGATGATCACTGTGTCCTGTGTTTGATAACTTTCTTCTCAAGTTCATCTTTCTTTGCTCCAACGATCCTGTCAACCTCTTTACCCTGTTTCACCAGCACAAAAGTTGGCATCGCCGTCACGTTGAACTCTTTAGCCACATCCTGAATAAACATTGATCATGCAATAAGTTTTAGAATTCCCTTTCTCGTCACAAAACACACACATGAAATGTTTCAGAATCAGGTGGCTGAATCCATCTCAAACATCTCGAGTCATCTGCACATGTCCGTACTAAAATAATCTATTTTCTACTCAAGAAATTCGATATCACAAAAATAGAACACGAAAAAGTATCTTATTGTGTAGAATTTAATATTTAGGGGATGAAGTTTGGTTTATAAACTCGTATACTAAATGTTTTATAAATTATTCCTAAACATTTATAAATGATTTAGTATAGTTAGTTTAAATTTTTTTATCACAAATTTAAAGTATATTTATGAAAATAATTATATTTTAATAATATATTGGGAAGACAGTATTAAATTTAAAATTCCCAAAAAGAAAAAAAAACAGTGAACAACGAAGATCAGTTCGAGTAATGATGGATACTTACGGGAAGCTTATCGACATCCAACTTGACGAAGTCAACATCAGTGAACTTGACAGCCATGTCGATGAACGCAGGCTCGAAGAACTTACAAGGCCCACACCAGGTTGCGTAGAAGTCAATCACCAGCTTTTTTCCCCCACCCATTTTTTTTTTTTTTAAAAAACGGAATCAGTTCATTCTATAAATCGATTGCAAATCTAACAAATCGATACTTACCAGCTGGTTCGAATCTTTCATCACGTTGAAGTGAAGCTGCCACCGAGATGATGAGCTAAACTTAGTGACGCGACTATGCTCCGTTTCATTCCCTGTAGCAACTGTTTCTCCTCCCACTAAAGATGATAATAAACCTCCCATTTTCTCTCTCTCTCTCTCTCTGAAGAGGTAGTCAGACTGTAAGAGGCAGAGAATAATTACGCTTTAGACCCACGCTATCTTCTCTGGTCATGCACACATCCTGCCGTTTCAATTTTGTTTTCCCACACGGATGCACACATTCTGCCGTTTTTAAATTTCATAGCTGTCAGAGACAACACGTAAGGGATCCTGAGTGTAGAAGGGAAACTAGTTTTTTCTTTCAAGTTTTGTTGCTTAAAAAATTTACATTTATTTTAATACAAATAAAAATTTCATGGTCCAACCTACGTAAGTTTTGTCAACTAATCAACCCATAATAATTGCTGATAATAAAACCCCCTGATCACATATAGCTAAGGCATTTTACATATAATTGATCAACCAACTCTACGTAAGATTTTACATCTATGCTAATGAAAACAAAGTATTGATGATAGCATTTTATTTTTTATTTTTTGAGAATAATTTTACTATTAGTAATAATATTCATTTTATTAATTTTCAACACCAAAAACTAAAATCTAAAACAACCAATCAAATTTTCCAAAACTTTAAATATACTACAAAATTAAAAACAAAACCTAAAAGCCAAAATCTGAAAAACTAAATCCAAAATCTAAAAACTATAATAAGTTTACTTTTTTGTTCTATCATTTTTTTTTTACAAAAGGCTTTATATATATATATGTAAAAAGGCATGTTAGGGCAGTGAGTTTGGGCCGAAACCATTACATATAAACTTAATTAAAATGGGTAAACCTATTATTGTTAGAACAAAACTCGATTCAGTGAAGTCGAATGTAGGGGACGAAGAGACAATTCATGAACTTAACCATAGTTGGATCATCTGAGAAGATAGGGATGGAGAGGATTGGTGGAAGCTTGAAATCTTGTTCTTGATCAGCGATGAAGCCGAGAGGATAAATGAGGAAGATGATCGTAATTGTTGGCGGTGAAGTCTATTGTTGCACTCAGTCCAGATGAAGTAGATTGCTGATTTCCAAGCCAAGAAATCCACTAAACGGCGATGTTTGGGGTGGGAGATTTTCTGCATGTAGTCGACAACTTGTGTCCATGTAGTTATTGGGGAGCAGTGAGCTTTGCGAGCCAGGGTTCCCCAGACTGATGCATAATACACTTGAAGAATAGGTGGTCTCTAGTCTCATTTTCTAAGTTGCAGAGGAGACATAGTGGACTTGTCGAAAGCCCCCAGCCAATAATAAGATCTTTTGTTGGGAAACGGTTTAAGACAACAAGCCAAGTAAAGAATTTTTGTTTAGGAATACCTTTTGATGACCATACGATTGTTTCACAAGGAACAACCGGTTGATGTGCTTTGATGAGCTTGTAAATATGTGATGTATAGTATGATGAAAGTGGTTTATCATCAGGAATCCCTTCAAAAGAGTCTTCTTCAGGTGATAAAGAGATCGTGGTGAGGAAGACATGAATGTTTAGTTGGTTTTCTGATTCTGGGTGGGGGATGGGAGCATCCAGTTTCCATTGCGGTAGAGGGTGGATAGGGTCGCATTTGGTCCAATTCCTAGAGTTGAGGAAGAAGACAGTTGCAGGTACTCTATGAGATTCCCAAAATGACTATAGTTGTTTGTCCAAAATCTAATAGAACGATTATCAATTGTTTTTGTTGTATTTTATCTTTTGCTCGTATTTCTAAGCAGCTCCACCTCGTATCGAATCCCGTTGATATTAAATATTTATTCTTCACCAGTACCAGATTATGTTTGATTTTTTCTGTAGTGTTATTCTTTTTCAAGGTAGAACAAAGCTTCTCCATATTATTGGGGAGTTTAATTGGCTGGGGATGTGTTCAATTAATTTAGAGTGTAAATCGAAGTAATCTTTGTATAAGAAATGTTCTAGTGAATACTTTTGAAACCAGTTTTAATGTTGATCATGGAGCTGTAATATTTTAGTGTTTGATCAGAAGATTTACTCATATCAGCCGATGATTTAGCAAAAGGTGGTACAAGGAGCTAACAGAAAAGGTGGCAAAAAGGATCAGCGACAAACTTGATAAAAGACTGTAGCATTTCAGCATCATAATTTCAGCAATAGACACGTGTGGAGTCCCCTGGATGCAAGAAAATTTGTTAGTAGAATATAACATGGGATAGTTAGAACTACTTAATCGTTTGAAGGCAAACGAATTGTTACATAACATTGACAGCTCATGCACAAGTGTCAACAGTAAGCCATTCTCAGCTAAACATGTTCAACCTTGCTAGTAACAAAGTGATAGTGACTTACATCAATAGCCCAATCAGGTTTATTATTTTCAGCAGGCACAAAACGCTTGGTAGATATTAGATATTGCTTTAGTGGCCTACACAGCACAAAAAGATATATCCAATAAACTAATCAACAATTCAAGAACACAGAGACTCTTGAATACAAACCCATGTCCAATTAAAAGTGTGGTAGCTTAGGTGTTATAGCTTGCCCTTTCCTCAGTTTCCCTCTAAATTTTTATTTTTCATTTTTTGGTGATGGTATTGGTTTAAGTTTGTTTTGTCGTGGTCGGAAGAATCCTCATGAAGTTTTCAGTTTCAAGTATCCATGCCAAGCAACGCTAATTCTTCGGAAGTTGGAGACTGCTTGGATTCTTCCATGCCCTTGTGATTTTACCATTGGATACACAGTGGATGGTATTCTCAAAGAAGATTATCTAGATCTCTAAAGGAGAAAGAGAATCTGCTTATCGTGAATACTTGAAACCGACACCTTCACATCAAAACTCATGAAGGTATTTGTATTCCTCCATGGAATGTGAATACTGTATTTACCAGCTGTGATGTCCTTGATGCCATTTTATACGAACTTCTGTAAAAAAAAAACAAACTTGGAACAATCATAAGAGAGATGCTGAAAAGTAATTAAAATGGTAACTTTTTTTTTCCATTCTCTTACACAAAACATTATATGTAATGAAACTTAATGATATCAGAAAACTGTACATGTTTTCTCATGCATGCAGCTTGATTATGCGTTCTTTCATACTATTTGCAAGTGTGTTTTTAAGATACTGATAGAACTTGTTTGTATTATTGAGAATAACCGTCCAACCTCTCTCTTTTCTCCACACCTTAGAGAACTAAACCAGTTATAAACTTGCTCTCGGTAGAAAAACAAGTCCAAGATTTAAAAGTCCAAACAACTAACTGAATACAAAAGTTTACACTGAGTCTCCTTATATAGTGAGGTCCAATTACAATATATCTCTATCTTGTAACAATCTCTTCAAACTTCTGATGCCAGCTCATCTCCATTTGGCGCCAACCTTCCCTTCTCTTTATCACTCTCTTTTCTCTTCCTTATGTAAACTTTATCTGGCATATCAATACCCACGTTCACAAGACTCAGCTTGTCCTCAAGAGTGAGAAATCTAGAAATTATTGCTTCACTTCTCCCACCGTAAGCCAAGAAATTTCATGTTGAGGAAGATGTTTCCATTTCAACAATAATTCCAACTGGACCTTCTCATTATAGCGCGTCTCCAGAATGTCCTCTGGTTCACTCAAAAGTTCATCAGTCTCATTCAACGTTGGGGGTAACAAAGACGTCACTGCAGCATCTCTTAACACTGGTTTCAACTGCGACACATGAAACACTGGATGTATCTTCGACGAATCTGGTAAAAGCAGTTTATACGCGACTTTACCCACTGTCTGCATCACTTCATAAGGTCCATAAAATCGAGCTCTTAACCACAAACCTTCTATCCAACAAGTAATGCCTTTTGAATGGACATGACAATCACCATTATAACTCACGCTCATATTTAGGCTTTTGCTGCTCCTTATGAGTAAAACCACGACTGAAGAAAGCAATAGGATGCATCTTCTGCATTAAAACCGCTCCTTACCCGAATCCAGACGCATCTGATTCAACCACAAACAATTTGTTGAAATCTGGTAATGCTAATACAGGGGTCGAAACCATAGCTTTTTCAGTCTATCAAATGCCTCATGAGCTCTTATGTTCCACTCAAACTGATCATTCTTCAATAACTCCATCAAAGGTTTAGCTATTACTCCATACCCTTGAACAAACCTCCTATAAAATCCGGTTACCCTGAGAAACCCTCTCAAATCCTTCACAGTTTTTGGATTCGGCCACTTCACAACAGCTTCAATCTTTTGACCATTCATTGATACTCCAAAATTTGTAATCACATGACCCAAATATTCCACATTTTCTTGTGCAAAAGCACACTTCTTCTTATTAGCAAAAAGTCTTTGCTCTACAAAAACATCCAACACCAATCCAAGATGACGTACATGCTCCTCCAATGACGTTACTGTAGATGAGAATATCATCAAAAAACACTAAAACAAACTTCCTCGAGAACTTCCAAAAAACCTTATTCATTAAAGACTGAAATATGGCCAGAGCATTTGTTAACCCAAACGGCATGACCAAGAACTCAAAAATGACGGTCATGTGTTCGGAAAGTTGTTTTCTCAATATCCTTTTTGAGCCTCCGAATCTGATGATACCCAGTTCGCAAATCCAACTTCGAAAATAATTTAGCTTCATGTAACTCATCCAACAATTGGTCTATCATTGGAATAGGATACTTATCTTGTATGGTTGCTTTTTTTAATACACGGTAATCCACACAAAAGCGATGAGAGTTATCTTTCTTCTTCACAAGCATCACTGGACTAGAATAGGAACTCTGACTCGGTGTAATGAATCCTTCTTCCACCATCTCTTTAACCAACTTCTCCATTGCTTCTTTGTGTGCGTGAGGGTATCTATATGGAGGTACACTATTAGAGTGAGAGTTTGCGCGAAGCGTGATGGAGTGTTATCTTCCTCGTATTGGAGGTAAGCCCTTAAGCTTGTGAAACACTACCTCATACTGTTGTAGCTTCTGCTCGATACTTATTGGTAACTCCTCCACTTTATCACTGCCTCTATCCACACTTTTTAGCTCCATTTTCGTCCCTTTATGTTGACCGAGACCCCCGCTGTAAATGTTTTAAGAGAAATGTTCTGATCATGCAATGTTGGATCTCCAATTAATGTCACCGGTACTCCATTGTATATGAAAGACCACTTGTTTCTTCCCCAATCCATCACACACTTGCCCAAGTTTCTGAGCCATTGTACCCCCAAGATAATATCAGTATTTCTCAACTCTAACATGATAAAATCTGCTTCAAAAGACATTGTTGGTAACCCTATATTCACCTTCTTACAGACGTCTGTCCCTTGAACTAAAATTTCAGTTCCCAACAAGACATTCAAATTCGGGTTTGTCGTAGTTCTTAGCTTGTTCAACTTCACCGCTGCTCCACTATCTATCATCACCACCATT